TCAGCGACGTTATGAAAACTCATGGAAGTGAAAACAGAGAAAGTGTGAGAAGCGTAAAGAGGTGAAACGGACTATGGGCCCTGGAGCCCTATTTATAAAGATGACGTGGAATATGAAACGATGCACCGGGCAACCACGAACTGCCCCCGTCCTCGACGCCTACTTGCATAGACAATGATGGCCCTACTCCCTAGGTCAGCATTGTGGTTCCCAAGAGCCGCACCACGTACCTAACTGATGCATCACCTCCTCCCCACAAAAATTCCTCGAACGCTCCTCGACCGCTGCACGGGGAAAATCACAAATCGGGTGATGCCTATTCTCCCCAGTTGGAAGCCCATGTGTCGCGCAAGCGAGCCTCGCGGAATAACGAGTTTGAGTCAAGTCACAACTCCCGTACCAGGAGCAGCGACATGGGGGGCTCATGTTCCGGACTGGGCCTGCCCGTGGCCCAATTACCAGTGAGGCCCAATCCAAGCTTTACAACATACCATGTTGAGTATTAGAATCCCCAACACGCCTCGATCATGGGTGTCGTCGAACACAATTGTGCCCACCGATGACTGTGAAGAGAGTCCCCGACAAAGGACGTCCCAAACGAGGAACATCTTAATCCAGGCCATGCTCGAACACACTCCTCGTAGGGCAGACTCAACCTCTTCAAATATCTCGGAGTCCTCAGGGTCCTGAGAAGACCGCGTCTTCACCTCCCTATTTCTGCGGAGAGCATCATCCAGGTAGGGGACCACGTGCAGGCCCCCACTACTCCATGTAGAACCTGGCAGTCCCTTTGTTGGGCCTGTTTGGTCAGCCCAATAAAGGGACCTTGGCCCTGCGCTGGGGGCTATAAATACCCTCTATTTCAAGAGGGTTAGGTATTCATTCATTTACACCTACATACAATTTTCCTGCTCATTCCGTCTCTCACTTTATCATCGGAGTGTCTTGCAGGTACCCCCCCTCCTTCAAATTCAATTCGAACCAGCTATGACGGTCCAATTCTGATCAGGTACGATCACTTATGTTGATTATTTATTGCAATTTTCCTTTTGTACTTTGAATTCCTAAATAATGAACAAAATAATGTTTTTCTTTTCTAAATGATTATTTACTTATGTTTTCATATTTAAATTATTGCAATGTATCTTTACCTGACTTTTTTATTTTGATAAAGAAGGAGAAATATACTCTCAGGGAGAGTAGAATATACTGTCTACTTAATTAAGGGGGAGTTTGATTACTCAAAATATTGTTTATTTTACCACTTTCCTGAGAGATGCATTGTCATTATCAAAAATGGGGAGAATGTGGAACCTTGTCTTGCAGGTTACTTTTAGGTGATATTCCTTTAATGAGGACAATGAATTTTGATGATGACAACCAATTTCTAATGATGACAATTAACCCTTAATGGCAATAACTAAAGTCAAGCATAAAGCAGTTAGAGATTCAAACCAAATGATTAAATTTTGATGGACTTGACTCTATGATGATGGTAACCAAGTGTAACCTAACTCAAACCTCATCTCAAGTGAACTCAAGCAAGTGTATACAATATAGAAACATCTGACAAGACTTGACGCATGTGAAAGTCTGCCTCAACACATCTGAGTGAACATATTGTAAAAGCATAAAGGATTTCTCATAAAAGTGAATGGCAAATCACTCACACACACAAACATACACATAAACAAGTTTTCAAAATTAATTTCTCAAGGAAACATTTTCAAAAATTCCTTGAATGCGTTTCAAATGAGTTAGGAGTTGTGAGAAAATTTATGTGCAAGTTTTTGCTCTTGACAATTGATTGACACTTCCTCCAATCAATTAGAACTGTTAAGAAATGAACCCTAAGCAATTAGAATAAAGCCTTAATGATGGACAATGGCTAAATATATTTTGTTTTTGAGCTTGTTACTCGATTAATTTAGGCCTACCAATCGATCAGTGCATATTGTCAATCGATTGGCAAGTCATAAATGACCCTAAAATATTTTCCTTTTTGTGTCAACCTCTAGCCTATAAATAGAGCTTCTTTAACACATATTTGTATATCCAGAAACGTGATTTCATTTCTCACTTATCACTTCTCACTTCTCACACTCTCTCTAAAAAAATTCGTTTGTTTACTTTCTCTCACTAAAAGTTTAGTTGTAGTACTTTTTGAGAAATTAATTTTGCAAGTGAGAAAGTTGTAATTCTGGAAGGGTAATTTTGTAAGGTCACCAAAAAAGTTTTATTTTTACATCGGTTGAATATTTTATCCATTTAGGGATTGTTTGTTTGGGTTTGAAGCTAAATCAGTGAAAACCATTTGTTTGGGAATTGTGTGATCAAGTCTCTATCCAGGTTCTTGGTTAGCCCGTGATAAAACCAAGTTTAGGCTCAAGCCCGTCCCATGATAAAAGCATGCTTTGGTTCAAGATCATCTCAGTGGTAAAATATCACAGGTTCTTGGTCAGCCATGTATAAAATCAAGTTTCAGTTTGTGAGCTTAGCCCGGTGTTAAAAACTCTCAAGGTTTAAGATCATCTCATGGTAAAATCTTTGTTTGAAGCTTGAAGACTAACCACACCTAGTTTCTTTTGGAAAGGATACTAACCGCTTCGATCCATCGTTTAGAAGGAAGACTCACTACTTCTCTCCCGTGTTTGCTGTTTGGTTGAAAATTGGCCACAAACTTCATTTTGATCGAACATTTATAAATTCTGGTGTTTTCTCTCTTCCCTTAAACTCTTTATTTCCTCATTTTGTTTTCTATAATGTTATTTTCCGCTGCATAACTCTAGAACTTTTCTAAAAAAATTTCAAACTCTGATTCTAACTCTAAAAGTTTTTAAAATCCAAACTTTTCTAGAATATGCAATTCACCCCTCTTGTGTGCAAAGTCACATGTCCAACAAAATTATAAGCTCTCATATCTCACTCCTTGCTCTCTCTACAAATATTTTTCTTACTTTATCTCACTTAGAAATTATCTGTAGTGCTTTCGAGAATGGTCTAAAGGTGTTTTGTAAGTGAGGTATCTTTGTATTTTTGGAAGGGTTATAAATTCACCAAGGAACATTTTCTTACCTTGGTTAAATAATTTATACAATTAGGATTTTTTTTATTTGGGTTCGAAGTTAAACTCTTTAAGAACTTTAGTTTGAGAACTTAGTTACTAAGTTGTTGGTTCGGTTTGTAAGTTATGTCCGGTTAAAAGCTTGCTAAGGTTAGAGATAAGCTCGGTATAAAATCCCATAGGTTCGTGGTCAACCTGTCAAAACCTCAACTCGGTTCGTGAGCTCATATCGATTTAAAAGCTCTCTTTGGCTCGAGATAAGCCTGTGTAAAATCTCATTTATATTAGGGACTAATCGCTTCAAGTTACTACTTTGGAAAAAGACTAACCGCTTCAATCATTCGTTTGGAAGAACGACTAACCACTTTTCTCCGTTATTCGCTGTCTGGTTTGAAGTTAGCTAAAAACTTCATTTTTTTTTGTATAAGGGGGGTATGAGAGTCCAACCTACTGAAAACTCAAGATTTACTGGATATTCTCAAGAACAAATCTTTGGGAGAAGATTAAGTCTCTTCTTTTTGAATAAATCTCTATAATTTCTGGTGTTACGAGATCATATATTGAAAGACAATGGGATATATGGTATGGACTTTGATTTCGACAGAGTTTTGGATGGTTTTAGTGTTGCAATTCCATATTTTAACCTTAGTGGTTTTACTAGCAAAGACACCGTCCCTCCTAAAGCACAATATATTTCGACGGGTGTTCTTTTTAATAAAATTGTTCAAGACATAGATGTAACTTTTGACATGACCACAAGACATAAAACAATTTTTTGGTTTTTTGCAAGCCACATATGTTTAAGACTTTCTCCTTACTATTCCTATTAATTAGTTAGGTCAATATATGTCACCAGTGGAGTACCGTACTATCCTAAGATACCGTCTTATGATTCCCTTATTTTCTATTGATGAGGTTTATCATGTTTGTTGTAAGGCGTGTTTGAATACATTTGGGAGACACATGATTCATTGTATGGAGCTTTCAGGGTTCCAATAGCGACATAACCTTGTTACGAATGTAATGTTTGATATATTTCAGCGGACCATAATATATGTGAAAAAAGAGGAGCTTGTGAATTTCTTGACTGACTCACACGAGGAAAGATCAACACTTAGGCCAACAAATATTCTGATGTATAGATGAATATGAGGGAAATATGTTTGTGTGGACTTGACTGAAGTTTCTTCACTGATGGGATTGAGGACTATAGATTTTACTGTGAGGCAAATATTTTTTAAAATTACTTCAAATAAAGTAGTCAAACATAAGAAAGGATGTTCTGACAATCAACATATTTTTATATCATTTACTTTTGACACTTTGATATTCTAACATTAAAAGTATTTGAGAGTTATGAATAGCAAAGATCTTTAATGGCGACAATTAATCATTAGCTTGCAACTCAAGGTAGCCCGGAATTAATCTACCAGTTTGGTATGTTTATAGCTTCCTGTGACTATTGATGAGTTGTCCTAATTCCATTGGTCATTTCTAAATACAACGATTTATGTTCGATCAATCTGGTTATAACATGAAGGGACATTTTAGTATTTCAAATTTCTTCAGTACAGTGGCTATTTGTGGCGTAGACAATACGCCACGTATCACACTCTCAACCCTCTTTTCTCTTACCTGTGATGCCACTAGAATTTTTCGTTTCATTTTTGTCAAGAAAATCCCAAAAAAGTTATTATGAAAAATGATTATTATGTATGAACAAGAAAATAAAGAGAAAAAATTCTATATTTCATGAAAATATATTTCAAAGAAAAACATGCTCTCTCTACTTTGCTTAGAGAGAAAGCATAAGCAGAATAAGAGAATTCCATGGATGATAATTGATAACTTGCCATCACTTTTTATAGAGTTTGAATTGTATTTCTTATACTCTAACATGTGATAATAGTTTCTCAGTTTCAGTATTATAGTACCAATGGCTATAAGTGGTTTAATTTCCAACACAAACTTCACTTCTTTCATTGCTTCAGGTTCATCTTCTTCAACCACTATTAATTTCCTGATTTTATTATAAACTATGGTAGGATTTGTAGAAATTAGTTTGGATTTTGTTCTTATATTAATACATAAATATAAATAAATATTGTCGTCGTGGATTGAACTTAGACTAGCTGTTTACATTCATTTAACTCAACTAGCACTAGCACGTACTGTCTAGCTTACACCTCAACAATTTGTTTTAGTGTGTCTTTGAAATTGGCAGGAAATTATCAATTGAGAAAGGATGTATCACTTCAAAGAGGAAGCATTTTTAGTGTTCATCATGGTGGCCAGATTGCAAAGAACCCCTTTGCAAGAACCAGAAGCCATATTGAACAAAGAGAAGTATATGGACTAGAAGTAAGAAAGCTTAGTAAGGTAAATAGAGCCTGTGTTCATTACAGGTCGGAGGAGTATGACATTGATGAAACAAAGGTGGATTCTGTGGTATCTGATGAAGGAACGGATGAAGCAATTCAATTGAAAGGAAACGGTGCACCAGTTTCTCCTTGGTGGCGGAAACTTCCTAAGCGCTGGCTTATCGTATTGCTGTGCTTTAGTGCATTTCTTCTATGCAATATGGATCGCGTGAGTATTACTATGTGTATGTTAGGATTGGTGGTGGATCATCCATTATTGGTTCTAAATGCACCTGCGTCATGGTTTTGTTGAAGCTTCTTAGTGTAGCTTTTGCAGTACCATGGCTCTGTCAAATTCACCGTTAATCAAACATACCCTATGTCATTTATATGTTCATGTTTTTGCCATGTTTTAAGTTCCTGGTATGTACAATTGTAGACTATATAGACTCCTTTATATCAAAAATGTTCCATCTTATATTGTAATATACAGGTAAATATGAGCATAGCGATACTTCCAATGTCACAAGAGTTTAACTGGAACAGTACAACAGTTGGCTTAATTCAGTCATCTTTTTTCTGGGGCTATTTACTCACTCAGGTGTAAAATCTATGCCAAATTCTTAGAGCATATTAGCCTAACAAGAAATCTATTTCGTATAACATTTTTATGTTGAAAGAATATATGCTAGTATGTTGAGATTTCCACACTTTTTATTTTGTTGTTGAATTCAAATCAAACTGACATTATATGATGGTTTTCATTTCTCTAGATTCTTGGTGGCATATGGGCAGACAAACTTGGTGGGAAGGTAGTGCTAGGTTTTGGAGTTGTTTGGTGGTCAATGGCAACAATTTTAACACCGATTGCGGCAAGACTTGGACTGCCTTATTTGCTTGTTATGCGTGCCTTTATGGGAATTGGTGAGGTTGGTACCTAACATTTGCAAAAGTACTTATAACGCCAGATAAGTTTTAAATAATCTTTTTCAAATGAGCTCTTAACACAAAATGATGTTAGTTATTTGTTTTCAGGGTGTAGCGATGCCTGCCATGAATAATATACTGTCCAAGTGGATTCCAGTTTCAGAAAGAAGTAGATCACTTTCGCTAGTATATAGCGGCATGTATTAGAGATAGGAGGGTATTATTGTAATAGTTAGTAGGAATTAGACTCATGTGTCTAATTCCCTTTCTATCCCTAGGCCCTTCTATATAAGGGTTTGCTGTAACTGTGAAAAGATATATATAACAGATTCAGTTACTCTTCTCTCTTCTCTCTTCTCTCTCTTTCTTCTCCACTCTTCTATTCTATCATGGTATCCAGAGCTTCTCTCTGATCCGTGGCTCCTATGGCTATGGCTTCACCAGACTCTTCAAACGCTACCGGTGGTAGCTCCTTCGCTGCAACAACTACCTTCAAGCAGAAGATCTCTGTCAAACTCGACGACACCAACTATCGTCAATGGAAGCAACAGGTCGAAGGCGTTCTTCGTGGCACCAAAATGGTTCGCTTCGTCGTTTCTCCTCAAGTACCGGAACGCTACCTCACTGTTGCTGATCGCGACGTCGGAACTGAGAATCCGAACTATGTCGCGTGGGAGGAGCAAGACGCTCTTCTCTGTACGTGGCTCTTGTCCACGATCTCTGATTCTCTTCTCTCTCGCTTTGTTCTTCTGCGCCATTCGTGGCAAGTGTGGGACGAAATTCATGCGTTCTGCAATACGCAGATGAAAACAAGGTCGCGTCAACTCAGATCAGAGCTCCGTTCTCTCTCAAAAGGTACTCGCACCGTTTCGGAATTTCTTGCACGTGTTCGCACTATTGTTGACACGTTGATGTCCATCGGCGATCCGGTTCTTCACCGCGATCAAATCGAATTGATTCTTGAGGCACTGCCGTCGGAATTTGATCCAGTTGTCGCTGCTGTCAATACGAAGTCTGATTTCATCTCGATTGATGAGCTTGAGTCGCTTCTTCTTGATCAAGAAGCGCGAATTGATAGAGCCAAGAAGAACGTCGTGGAAACTGTTTCAGTGAATCTCACGCAAGGGAATGAAGAGAAGTCCAGTTTCAGTCCTCAATCTGCTGAGATTCCTGATTCCAATGGTGGTGTTTCTTCTGGCTATGGAAGAGGTAGCAATTTTCGTGGCCGAAACAATAGAGGTGGAAGGTTCAGAGGTCGCGGTGGTCGCAGTGGCTTTAGAAACTCTGTTCAGTGCCAAATATGCTCTAAAGTAGGTCATGATGCTAGCTACTGCTATTTTCGTCACTCTCAGGATGCTTATGGCTCATATCCTCCTTATGGCAACTATGGCAATTATGTCTTTGCTCAGCCCAATGTGTGGACTCAGCCTGGTTTTCGAGCCTCAGCACCTCACACCATGAACTCTGCTAGACCTGCTGCTGCGTCCATGCCTGCTCAATATCCTACTCCTAGGCCTCAAGCATTGATTGCTGGAACTGATTGTTCCTCCTTCTACAATCAGGCCTGGTACCCTGACTCAGGTGCCTCTCACCATGTGACACCAGATGCCACAAATCTTGCTGATTCTGTGTCTCTATCTGGATCTGACCAGGTTCACATAGGCAATGGCCAAGGTCTGTCTATCACCTCTGTTGGCTCTATGCAATTTCCTTCTAATTTGTGTCCTAAGTCTTCTCTCAAACTTAATAATCTGCTGCTTGTGCCATCTATCACTAAAAATCTCTTAAGTGTGAGTCAGTTTGCCAAAGACAATGCTGTCTTCTTTGAATTTCATGCTGATGCTTGTTTTGTGAAATGTCAGGATACTTCTAGAGTGCTCTTAAAGGGTTCACTTGGAAGTGATGGTCTCTACAAGTTTGATTCAGTCTCTCAGCCTACTTCTCCTCAAGTTCTTAGTGCTGTCAGCAGTCATCTGCAGTCTAAGTCTAGGATCTCAAATTCATTTTCTAAATCTGTATTCAGCTCTACATGTAATAATAGGGACTTAGGCTCTATTTCTAATGTGTATCAAATGTGGCATAATAAACTTGGCCATCCTCATCATGAGGTTTTGAAACAGATTCTTCAACTTTGTAATATTCCTGTACCACATAAACAATTCAGTAATTTTTGCAATGCTTGTTGTCTGGGCAAAGTGCATAGACTGCCTTCTTCATTATCTGAAACTGTCTATAGCAAGCCTCTTGAACTTATTTTCTGTGATCTGTGGGGGCCTGCACCACTTACATCTGTTTCTGGCTTTACATACTTCCTTACTTGTGTAGATGCTTTTAGCAGGTACACCTGGATTTACCCCCTTAAGCTAAAATCTGATACCTTAGCCACCTTTGTGCAGTTTAAAGCACTTGTCGAACTACAGCTGAATATGAAAATTAAATCTGTGCAAACTGATGGAGGAGGAGAGTTTAAACCCTTGACACATTTTTTGAATATGCATGGCATCATACACCGGGTTACCTGCCCTCACACCCATCACCAAAATGGGTCTGTTGAGAGGAAACATCGTCATGTTGTTGAAACTGGTCTCACTCTCTTAGCTCAAGCAAATCTTCCCTTAAAGTTTTGGGATCATGCTTTCCTCACTGCAACTTATCTCGTCAATAGGCTGCCCTCACCCAACTTGCACAATAAATCTCCTTATTTCTTGCTATACTTCAAATATCCTGACTACAAATTCTTAAAAACCTTTGGCTGCTCCTGTTTTCCTCACCTCAGACCTTACAATTCACATAAACTTGCTATGCACTCCAAAGAGTGTCTCTTTCTTGGCTATTCACCTAGTCACAAAGGCTACAAATGTTTGGATGCTTCTGGCAGAATTTACATCTCCAAGGATGTTAAATTCAATGAGTGTAGGTTCCCTTATTCAGTCATGTTTTCCTCTTCATCCTCCCCTACTAGTCCTACACCTTGTTCTGCAAACTCTCAAGGTTATTTTACTCCTTTACCTGTGCCTCTCACTGCTGTACCTCCATCACAATCTCAGAGTCATGCTGGCCTCATTACTCCTGTCATATCTCATAATAGTTCTGTATCAGACTCCAACACTGCCTCTTCTGAAGCTCATGAGTTAGCTTCTCTAGCCTCTGCCTCAACCATTGCTCCAGTCTCAGACACCACTGCATCAGTCACAGAATTGCCTGCAACTGCAGCTGTTAGCCATGAACAGGCTCTCTCTTCACCTGCTGTTCCTGCCTCCGGTTTCTCTACTCCTGCCGCTTCTGATTCCTCCACTGCAGTAGCTCCTGGTCCTCCTGCAAATCCTCTTAACATTCACCCTATGCTCACAAGGTCCAAACATGGCATAGTGCAGCTAAAGCGGCATCCTACACTTCTTCTTACTCACTTTGAGCCCTCTTCCTACAAGCAAGCTCTCACTGTTCCGGAATGGCAAGAAGCAATGCAAGTTGAGTACAATGCCTTACTTCAGAATCACACTTGGTCTCTTGTCCCTGCTCCTGCCAACAGAAAACCTATTGGCTGCAAGTGGGTTTTCAGGGTTAAGGAGAATCCTGATGGGACTATTAACAAGTACAAGGCCAGATTGGTGGCAAAAGGCTTTCATCAAGTTGAAGGGTTTGACTACACTGAGACTTTCTCACCTGTAGTCAAACCTGTTACGGTTAGAACTGTTCTAACTCTGGCCATCTCCAGAAAATGGACCATTCAACAGATTGATGTTAATAATGCCTTTCTTAATGGGGTGCTAAATGAGGAAGTCTATATGGTGCAGCCACCAGGCTTTGAAAAAGGTGAATCTGGACTTGTATGCAAGCTCCATAAAGCCTTGTATGGCCTTAAACAAGCACCTCGTGCTTGGTTTGATAAGCTCAAAGGCGCTCTCCTTCAGTTAGGCTTCACTGCCAGCAGGTGTGACCCTTCTTTGTTCATGCTTCTCACACCATCCTGCTACACTTTGGTGCTTGTCTATGTAGATGATATAATTATCACTGGCGTATCTTCAGCTTTCATTAAGCAGCTTGTTAACAAACTGAATATGGCTTTCTCTCTCAAAGATCTTGGGCAGCTGGACTATTTTCTGGGTATAGAAGTTACTCACCTTTCTAATGGCTCTTTACTTCTTTCTCAAGGCAAATATATAAGAGACCTTCTGCACAGAACCAATATGGCTGCTGCAAAAGGCATAGCATCCCCTATGGCTTCTAGCACCAAGTTATCCAAAGTTGGCTCTGCACAGGTGACTGATCCCACATACTTCAGATCTGTGGTAGGCGCGTTACAGTATGCTACAGTGACTCGGCCAGAAATATCTTTTGCTGTCAATAAAGTGTGCCAATTTCTGTCTAATCCCTTAGAAGACCACTGGAAAGCTGTTAAAAGGATCTTGAGATATCTTCAAGGGACTGCCTCTCATGGCTTATTTCTTTCCCCTGCCAATCAGTCTGCACCTCTCACTATTACAGGATTTTGTGATGCTGACTGGGCCTCTGATGTTGATGACAGGAGGTCCACCTCTGGTGCTTGCATATTCTTAGGTCCTAACTTGGTGACCTGGTGGGCAAAGAAGCAAACATTGGTGGCAAGATCTAGTGCTGAAGCAGAATATAGAAGCTTAGCTCTTGCCACAGCAGAAATTTTATGGCTGCAGTCTCTCTTACAAGAGTTACAGGTGCAGTACCAAACTCCAAAGGTGCTATGTGATAATCTTAGTGCAGTTTCCTTGGCTCACAATCCTGTGCTGCATTCTAGGACCAAACACATGGAATTAGACATCTTTTTTGTCAGGGAGAAAGTGCTGAGCAAAGCCCTTGTTGTGACTCACATTCCTGCAGCAAGCCAATGGGCAGATGTGCTCACCAAACCTCTCTCCACAGCCAGATTTCAGTTTCTCAAGAGCAAACTACGTGTTGTTGACAAGTTTAAACTTGATCAACCACCCTAAGTTTGAAGGGGGAGTATTAGAGATAGGAGGGTATTATTGTAATAGTTAGTAGGAATTAGACTCATGTGTCTAATTCCCTTTCTATCCCTAGGCCCTTCTATATAAGGGTTTGCTGTAACTTGGTTCTGTGGTAGGCTTGGCATTCTCACCTTTTCTGATCCAAAACCTTGGGTGGCCATCGGTGTTTTACTCGTTTGGATCCCTTGGAAGTATTTGGTTTGCTTTTTGGTTGCAAAAAGTAAG